CACATATATATATATATATATATATATATATATATATATATATATGGTGTGTGTATGCGTTAGAATGAACAGGTGCAGTGGGACCAGCCTAGGGGTTGTTTAAAATCCAGGTTTAAGCAACGGTCTACAAGCAGGGAGTGCCAGGGAGATGTTCTGGTTTCTTCACAACATGGTCTGAACCTGGCTCTGGCTCTGCAGAAACGAGCCCCAGAGTGCGAGGCGACTTGGCCTTTCACTTGGACGAAGTTCTACACTCGTAAATGTTCACAGAGAGGTGGGCTGCTAGGCAACATGAGTGACCCAGAGACACTGCCCTGGGGAACCGAAGGTTGAGGCCCACGCCAGTCCCGCCGCTCAGTGCCAGGCCAGAAGGTCCCAGGGAACAAGCTAGTTCGCCCAGTTTGGCAAAGTCAACGGGAGCTCACCCATAGAGTGGTTTTCCTGGGCCAGGTTTTACCGGAAGGAAAACGAGACAGGAAAGGTGAGCGGAGAGCGAGAAGGGGAAAGGTCCGGCGGCCCGCGGCCCTCGGGGGCCCCCCGGGCGGACGCCTCGGGCCGGTGCGTGTGCTCGCGGGCGGGGCGGCTCGCGGCCAATCCGGGCGGGCGTCCGGGGAGGGGCGGGGCTTGCGAGCTCCGGCTCCGCGAGTCCTTCTTTTTTGCACACACACGAATACAAAGAGCCATACGACCTTCGGGTATCCTTTTTCCATTTTTTTTTTTTTTCCTCTCCTTCATCTAGTGTGTGTTTTCAAGTTTTTTTTTTTTTTTTTGTTTTGTTTTTTTAAATAGAGATCAGTGGCAGCGCTGGGGTGAGGAAACTGTTGCTAAGGGGAATTTGCTCTCCCCCCCCCCCATTTCTTTTTCTGTCTCTCTTTCTCTTTCTTTTTCCTGGTCGAGGTTTAAAAATATACCAAGTCGAGAAGCAGGATGGTCGTGTGCAACTGTTTCCAGACAAATTTACAGAGAATTTTTTTTTTTTCTTTTTGCTATCACATTTTAAGAACTGGTAAATTTTGCGGTTGAAGGATTTAAATTTTAGGCGCTTGGGGAAGTATAGATTTGTTTTTAATCGGGCTAAAGCGATAACGTAAATTCTACCACAGGCAGCAGAGAGGTTTGAGGCGCCCTCCCAGAGCCGTTTGGCGTGCCTCTTTACACACACTCCCTCAGATCCAAAACCAAGTGGCGTGGATGCCCAATAGATTAGATAGACTGGGCTGCTTTAACTGGGACACTTACTTCCCGGGAGAGAAGGGAAAGCCCTCTGATGCTGTGCCTCGCACACGCCGTTTCATGAGGAAGTGTGTATGTGCTTCAAGCATACCATTTCGTATGGATTTATGTATGGGTTTATTTGTGTATATGGGAAGTATGTGTATATGTGCCGTGTCAGATTTTATTTTTCAAGTGTTTTTCTTTGATTTTATGTGTGTAGAACAGACCTTAGGAGGTAATTTTCCCCCCTCTGTGTTCACAAATGTGATCAAAACAGGATTTCATATGCAAAGTAAATCTTAGAGGAAATCCTGCACTTAGCATACTTAAGAACGTTCATCCTATTGGAATTTACCTTATTTTCTGCTCCTCCTTTGATTAGATTAGTGAATAATTAAATAATTGCTCCCAAAGCATGCAGTCAGTGTTCTTGGCAGATGAAGGTCGGGAATTTATTGAATCCAGTCCAGAGCCTCCCTCTTATTAGCGACGTTTAAGTGCTTTTGCTTTTTTATTGTTGTTCATTCTTAAATGTACAGCTGTGTATATTTTGGCCTCTGCTGAGTGGGTTTTGCGGGGAGGTGTTCAGAAGGGAATGTTCTGGCATTTTGACAAAAAGGTCTTTTATTGGTTGGGATTTGTTTGAAAAACTCCACTTCTGGGAAAGTGTGGGTGAAAATAGTCTTGTCCAGTCATTGAACTGTTCGGGGTAGGGGCTAAGAGGAGGCAAACGCAGAACACAGGAGGGCTGAGAAATACAACGTGATTATCATCTGGCTTTCTGTGAATGCAAAGCTTTCCCCACAATGCCAGTGTTTGGGGGGAGTGTGTACACTGAATGACTGTTTTGCTGGGGCACAGCCTCCCTTCCCAAAGGCGCTGTGTGGTGGGACAGTCTCTTTAGGAGTTATACAGGATATACCCGTATACTGAAGACTGAGTGAAACACTAGTATATGCGGACGGGCCTGAGGGAGTGTGTCGCTAATGTTGTAACTGGAAGATTAGAGTCCACGTTTTCACTACAACAGACCCTCTGTACGCCTTAGGTAAGTGTTCAAAGACACCCAAACAACACCTGCAGGAAAGTCTGTCTCAGGTTTGAATTTTCTAAGGAAAATGGCCCTGCCTGGGTGTGCTGGACCTCTCATTTATACTGTGTATTTTTATTTCCCCCCAAGGCAAGCCAGACTGGTGCACAACAAAGGCTGGCCCCGGAGTGGGCCGTCCACAAGTTTAGACAGTGCATGGCTTTGACTTGCAGGTAGATTCCGGCGACCTTAAGGATCAGGCAGCGGCGGTCATTTTGATGTTAGCCTGTTGGAGACCCAGGCCCCACACACCACAGGGCTCCTCAGAGTGGAAAGCACCGAACAGTAGTTGCCAGCCAGCTTGGGCTGCTCGGGGCTTTCAGGTCTCGAAATCTAGGCGCCTCGCCAAGGTCGTCGCCAGGAGTTTCTTTGTAAGAGAGAGGAATCCTTCCCGTGATTTGGCTTGGTTGGTTTGACAGTTTTGCCCAAGCAAAGCAGATCTAGATGGAGTTGATTTTGCTGAGAATCCGGAAGTAAAAGGTGCATACTGAACCGAGGAACTGCTACCTCGCAGCTGTTATCTGAACGATCTGGAACTAAAGCAGGCAGGAACCCCACCCCGGCTCAACCAACCGTAGGAAAACCACCTCGCGGCCTCCGTGCGTACGGTCGTGTGCACACAACCGTAGGGCGCCCGCTAACAAAAGCAAGTAAACAGAGAACCAAAATGGCGCCCGCCGTCCTTGAAAGAGCCTCTCGGAAGGGTCCCCCCCTGAGGAGGCCCCTCCCTCCCCGCCTCAGCTGAGTGACTGGGGACTGGGGCCAATAGCGTCCCTGGCCCCGCACCCCTGTGGCTCCACCGCCTATCGGCGCGAGCCAGAGGGCGAGCGGGGCGGGGCCCTCGCCGCGTGCGCGCGCCGCCGGGTACACGGGCGCCGCCTCCCCGCGCGGCTGCGGCACACGGGTGGGGCCGTGCTGCCAGGCGGGAGGCGCGCCCCGGGTGGGCTCCGCTCGACGTGGGGCGCGCAGAGCCCGGCCTGCAGCGTCGCTGCCCGTGCACGGAGCACCGTCTCCTGGAGAAGGCCGCGCAAACCCCCGGCGCCCAGCTAGGCCGCCTTCGGCCAGCGACCAGCGTCAGTCGGAGGCGCTGCGAGCACGCGAGGAAAGCCCTGGGTGGTCGTTTTATGTTCTCGTTTCTCCACAAGCGCAGTGGGCTTCCTCCAAGTTCCATCCCCCCCAGGCTGCGCTTCCAAGTTAATTCTTCTTTTAATGCTGCCGTGTTTATCTGGAAACCCCTGGGACAGATGGAGCGCGGTGGTGAACGCCTGTAACTCTTGCTCTGCGGAGGCCAACGCCGAAGGCGTGCCGCGCAGCGCGTTGAAGGCCAGCCTGGCTTAGCTATATAGTGCCAGGTGTGTGGGGGTGAGAGAGTTTGCTCAGTAGTGGTGGGGATCCCTGGTTCTGTTCCCAGCATCCACACGGTGGCTCGTAGCCTTTTGTCCCTCCAGTTCCGCGGGAAACAATGGCCACTTCTGGCCTTGGGCGCCAGGCATGCCTTTGGTGCACTCACATGCGTACAAGCAAACAATCAGAAACAAATCTTTAAAAAATTATTAATTAAAGAATTACACGCTAAACTCTTGTCACTAAAGTAGGGAGGGGAAAGGCACGCGCACACACACACACATACACACACACCCCACTCCCGACAGGAAAGACAGGAGAGTGCAATTTTTAGATTAAAGGGAAGGCATTTGTTCCAAGAAGCCATTCTGGCTGGGTGTGGTGGCACATGCCATTGATCCCAGCAATCAGGAGGCAGAGGCAGGCAGATCTCTCAGAGTTTGAGGCCAGCCAAGGCTACACAGAGAAACCCTGTCTTGAAAAATCAAACAAACAAGGAACCCATTCTGTTCTGCCCACTGCCTGGGCAGATCTATTTTGTACCTGATAATCAGGTGTTAGGTGTTTTTCAGATCTTTAGACTGGTCAGTCTTTTTTGTTTTTCAAGACAGGGTTTCTCTGTGTAGCCATGGCTGTCCCTGCTAGCTCTGTAGTCCAGGCTGCCCTCAGACTCACAGAGATCCTGGAGTAAGCCTCTAGACTGCTGGGATTAAAGGCGTGGGTCAGTACTGCCCGGTCTAGAGTGGTCGCTTAAATATAGAGAAAGTGTATTTTATGATAACTGCTCTCTTGCTGTTGTGTGAGAACTCATTTCTGATAGAAATGGGTTTTAAGAGGACCCTTTAACAAGTGAGCCATTTGTACCTTGAAATGGAGGGAACGGGGCCGACTAGCTTTAAATGACTATTTCCTTTTTATTTCCAAAAATGAAGATTATGATAGGAATTGCCTATCACATTAAAGAAAGTCCATTTCTATCCTGACCCTAAATGAGTCACAGGCCCATTGTAAGAACATATATCTGGAGAATACCATATCACACCCATCTTTTAAACAGTGAGAAAACGTATTTTTCATAGTTTGGAGGTAAACTCAGCCATGTAGAAAATTCAAACTCAGAATGAGGACAAAGCAAGCAAAGAGACTGCCAAGACTATGACATATTTAGTCTGAACAGAAATCTATGACTTGGGAGGAAAGGGACAGCTCAGGTTATGGGTGGCTCCTTCCTGAACTGTTACGTTTAAAGGTGAAGTTTTCTTCTTCCTTCCTTCCTTCCTTCCTTCCTTCCTTCCTTCCTTCCTTCCTTTCTTTATTTTAATTTTATTTTTTTTGTGGGTTTATTGGCTTTGGTGTTGGTGGTTATTGTTAGTGTCAGTGATTTGTTTTTGTTTTTGTGTTTTAAGATTTAATGGATACGAGTACTCTAGTCTTTATGCACACCAGAATAGGGCATCAGATCCCATTACAGATGGTTGTGAGCCATCATGTGGTTGCTAGGAATTGAATTCAGGACCTCTGGAAGAGCAACCAGTGCTCTTAACCACTGAGCCATCTCTCCAGCCCGGTGATGTGTTTTTGTGTGTTATTTCTCTCTCTCTCTCTCTCTCTCTCTCTCTCTCTCTCTCTTTCCCAAGACAGGGTTTCTCTGTGTAGCCTTGGCTGTTCTGGACTCACTTTGTAGACCAGGCTAGCCTTGAACTCACAGTGATCTGCTTGCCTCTGCCTCCCCCAGTGCTGGGATCATAGAGGTGTGCCCCCGAGCCTGGCTGTGTCCTTTTATGTTCTGCCCAGACCTCACCCTTGATTCAGAGTGGAAAATGAATTTGAAGCTCTTCTGATCCTTCTGCCTCCATCTCCAGGTTCTGGGATAACAGGAGTTAATCCCATGAGGCTCAGTTTTACATAGTGCTTGGGACCGAACCCAGAAATGATAGACATGCTCTCTGCTTGACTGAACCACACAGCTGGCCCCACACACTGCCGTTTGTCTTTGCGATGGAGTTTTGCTGTGCACTTCAGTCCAGCCTCAAACTTACTATGCTCAGGCTGTTTTCAACCTAGGAGTGGTTCCTGGGCCTCCAACTCCAGAGTGCTAGGGTTAGAGCTGTGAGTCACTGTGTCTAGCTGGAAAGAAGGTTCTAAGTTACTTTTATGTGT